TGGTAGAAGGTTTCCCCTTGCATGTTTCTTGGGATGGTCTGTTAAATTTCCCATCCTGCCATCTTTCTTTCTGGGACCAAGGAGGAGGGAGGGAGGGAGTGAGGAAGGGATAGAAGGAATGGTTGGAAGGGAGGGAGGGAAGGAAGAACGAGGAAGGAAGAAAAGGAGGAGAGAGGGAAGGAAGGAAGGAAGGAAGGAAGAAGGAAGGAGGAAGGAAGGAAGATATTATGCAGCAGGCAAATCAAATAGCATCAAAAGTCAAGAAAAATAGCTTGTTACAATTTAGATGAAAATTTCCCGTGTTTATAATTTCCACATGAGAGGAGATTTATCTTGGTTATCAGAAGTCAATGTTGCCTTAAAGTACATAGAACAATGAAGGTACTTTATCTAATTTCCTCCCTCCCTCTATTCTTTTCCTTCCTTCCTTCCTTCCTTCCTTCCTTCCTTCCTTCTTCCTTCCTTCCTTCCCTTCCTTTCTTCCTTCCTCTCTCCCTCCTACTCCTTTTCCTTCCTTCCTTCCTTCCTTCCTCCCTTCTTTTCCTTCCTTCCTCCCTCCCTCCTTTTCCTTCTTTTCTCCCTCCCTCCCTTCTTTTCCTTCCTTCCTTCTTTTCCTTCCTTCCTCCCTCCCTCCTTTTCCTTCTTTTCTCCCTCCCTCCCTTCTTTTCCTTCCTTCCTCCCTCCCTCCCTCCCTCCCTCCTCCTTTTCTTTCCTTCCTTCCTTCCTTCTTTTCGCAGCAAAAAGGCTAACTCAGTCACTTTTCATAGCAAAAGGAAAGCGTATTTTCATCCTGATATAAATTGGCATGTTTTACCGACGGAAATTATTTCTCCTACCAGCTTTCACAATATTTTAATACAGCGTGTGGCAGTATGCAAATAGACGGAAGTCTGGTGGCAGAACCATTGGAACTTACTTTTGTCGCACAATCTTTTCCTCCCACACAACCCAGCTCCACCGCAGCTGTTGGAAATCAGCTTCCCCACCCACAGGAAGATGTATGAAATATCACTGACAGGCCTACGTATGTGTGTGTGTGTATATACGTACACACATTTGTATCTTTGAAAATCAACTTTTATGCCTCTGTCGGTCTATTTTTCAGAGAGGTGTTACGGAGCTGCCAAATTGCCGCGCCTGTGATCTTCAGTAAAATTTTGAGAAAATTGGTATCCTGTCACATCTTTGTTAAGCCAGAGTTTTCCCTTTATTGTTTGGGCTGATTCTCAAATGAGCAGACTTGCCTTGGCTGATTTAGGAGGAGCAGAGAAGACAAAACAATCCAATCGCCCTCACCTTTGGGCTCGTCCTGATTACAAGCTGACTCAGATTATTAAACCACAAATGTTGAGTGGATAAGACATTAGCAAGCCAGGTTTTTGTCTATGGAGATTCTCAGGTAAAGGTAAAGGTTCCCCTCGCACATAGGTGCTAGTCGTTCCCGACTCTAGGGGGTGGAGCTCATCTCCGTTTCAAAGCCGAAGAGCCAGCGCTGTCCGAAGACGTCTCCGTGGTCATGTGGCCGGCATGACTAAACACCAAAGGCGCACGGAACGCTGTTACCTTCCCACCAAAGGTGGTTCCTATTTTTCTACTTGCATTTTTTACGTGCTTTCGAACTGCTAGGTTGGCAGAAGCTGGGACAAGGAACGGGAGCTCACCCCGTTACGTGGCACTAGGGATTCGAACCGCTGAACTGCCGGCCTTTCGATTAACAAGCTCAGCGTCTTAGCCACTGAGTCACCATGTCCTTTATGATTCTCAGATACCTAGGTCATAACTGGAGGAGGAGAAGGAAAATAAAGAGGAGGAGGAGGAGGAGGGAAAGAAGGAGAAGGAGAAGAATTAGAAGGAGGAGGAGGAGGAGAATTAGAAGGAGAAGCAGAAGAAGGAGAAGAATTAGTGGAAGAAGAATTAGGAGGAGGAGGAGGAGGAGGAGGAGTGTTTAGTGTTTAACGAATAAAAGTTTATAATAATAATAATATAGTCGTAAATAATATTAGTTGTTTCGCTTCTCGTCCAAGAAGCTTCATCAGTTCATCATGCAACTGATGAAACTTCTTGGAGGAGAAGCAAAACCTTTTCTTCTTCCTCCAGGGGAAAAAAACAGTCCTTTTTCGGGGGGTAGAGAAAGCACCTTTGAGAAAAGCCAGCTTTTAGTTTGCAGAGACGGTGTTTCCCCAGAATTCACTTGATGGGCACTGCTTGAAGGACACATGGCATGGCAGCCAAGCCAACAATGAATGGGATTGTCATTCTCCATTCAGGATGCCTTTTTTCTCCTCTCCTTGCTCCGGGCAGCGGGCTTTAACGATAAAATAAATAGCTTTTGGCAAACCTCTAAAGCTATCTTTACCCATCGAGGTTTTGAACTTGCGGGTGGGGGGGTGTCGTTGCTTCCTACCTCGGGGGAGTTCAGAGCATCAAATTTTCCAGAAAAAATCTCCCTCCGTCCACGTGGTTTGGTGGTGAATTTAAAGTTAAGCAGGGAGAGACGAGTCCCGTCGTACAATCGGCTTTCTCTGCAGGATTACGGCTGTGCGATAGCGAACTGCACCTTGTTATTTTATTTTATTTTATTTTTTAAATCTCAGAGCTTTACAGCAAGTACCTACTTACGTTGGCTTTTAGAGCGGCCCGGGTTTTCGAATCAAAATATTGCAATAGCAATATGTGGGATTCTCAACCTCAATATTGCGCTGTAATTTTTTTTATTTATTTTTTTTTTACTGAAACCGAGGACAGTAGGATGCTCGGGGTCAGGAACCAGAGGTAGCTGTGCTGGCCAGCTGTTGCATGGATTCCACGTAGCTGCCTTTAAGAAAATGGACTTTTGCTGTCCTTAGGATCACAGGGTGTTTTTGGGGTTTTTTTTAGTGGGCTACTACAGTACAGGTAGTCCTTGACTTACAATCACTTGTTTAGCAACCAAAGTTACCGTGGCATCACCCACGACGAGGCCGGGATGTGGCAGGCACAGAAGCTCTTTCTAACTCTGTTGGCCAAAATTGGATTTCAAGAAGGTTGTTGGGTTATGAACCTTTCAAAGTTTTTAGACTTATGAAACAGAGAAGGGATCTGGAGATCTTTTCTGCATCAGAAGATATCACTGATTCTTCTTCTTCTCCTCCTCCTTCTCCTTCTTCTTCCTTCTTCTCTTCCTCCTCTTCTTCTTCCTCCTCTCCTCCTCCTCCACTTCCTCCTCCCTCCCTCTTGATCTACAAATGCTCTTCTTCTCCTCCTCCTCCTCCTCTTTTTCCTCCTCTCCTCCTCCTCCACTTCCTCCTCCCTCCCTCTTGATCTACAAATGCTCTTCTTCTCCTCCGCCTCTTCTTCTTTTTCTTCCTCCTCCTCCTCTTTTCCTTCTCCTCCTCTTCCTCCTCCCTCCCTCTTGATCTACAAATGCTCTCCTCCTTCTCCTACTGTTCTTTCTTCTCCTCCTCTCCTCTTCCTCCTCTTCTCCTCCTCTTCTTCCTCCTCCTTCCTCCTCCTCTTCCCTCTCTTCCTCCTCCTCCCCCTCCTCCTCCCACGATAGCATAATAGTGCTGTCTGCTTAGTTGGTATTCTGAACTTGAAAACCCCATCCAAAATACATTTTGTTCAGTTTCAATTTGTTTTTGTTATAATAATTGATCAGGAGCGAAAAATGAGAATACATTCCCTTTGACTCAACCTACAGAGTAAACAGCCTAATTTAGATTGACATAACCATTATCTTGAGAAGTACTACAGGCCTTTCCATAGATCTGTGCTATGATTAGTAGCCTTTCTGGATAGGCGTTGCTGGGTATAGTAGCACTCTTCAGCACTCACTCTGTGAAGAGAAAAGGGAAGACAGGCATGGGTTCTCGGTGGGAATCCCTGTAGTAAGACCATGGTAGCAAGCGTTGGCCTTTGACTCTTCCACTGCTAACATTACTGCATCGTTCATGGGTGAAAGAATCAAGTCCAAACACAAAATGGTTCGAATTTAGTGCTTCAGCCTATGCACAATGTTCTCAACTAAACGTTTGCACCTGAGTTGAACTAGAAAATACTCAATGGCATTCAAAGAAAGTTACTTTTGAGGGGTCCTTGCTGTTCTCCGAGCTTGCTTGTTTTCTTGAAGACGTTTCATGACCCAAGTAGGTAACATCATCAGTGCTAGAAGGGAGTTGGGCTTGTGGAGTGGAGGAAGAGGAGAACTGTGGGGTCCTTGGTGCTCTCTGCGCTTGGTTCCACGGCACCACTGGGCAACATCATCATTGCTAGGAGGGAGGAGGGTTTGAAGGGAGGAGAAGGAGAAGGACGGTGGGGTTCTTGGTGCCGTCTGAGCTTGGTTGTTTCCTTGCAAACGTTTCACGACCCAACTAGGTAACTTCATCAGTGCTGCTAGTGGTTAGATTTTTTAAAAAGTCATCTGTCAGCGCTTCAACGCTGGCATAGAGAGAGAGAGAGAGATAAGCTCTGAACTTTTGCCTGCTAAATCCCTTTGAAGTCGGGTTGTCGTGGAAATGAAGAGGGGCGGAACATTCCTGGGAAATGACGAGACAAGAAGTCTGAAGAATGACTTGGAAGACAGCCAATGAGAAGCAGAGATTTGGGGATCGGAAAGGGAGAGATTGGGGGGGGCAAAAGGTCAGTCTTGTCCACATCGAATCATGATCCGGTGGCTGTGCTCAATTAAAGAAAAGATTTCCTTAAAGATTGGCAGTTTGGAAATTCATTTATTTTTGAGATAGCATCGAAGTCTGACATCATCTTTCTTAAGGCTGCATGGAGATTAAACTCATTCCTCATTAGACGTGTACGAAATCATGGAGTTGTGGGGCCTCTTGGCGTGACATCCGAAGGCTTTTGCCTTGACAGAAGAAACGAATTCGAGTGTTGTTCGGGACGTATTGAAACACCTCCGCTGTTTCACTCCTTAGTTCGTCCTGCAGCATTCATTCTCTCCTTTAAACCCTGAGGTTTGCTTGTCGTTTTCTTCAGTCTTGTTCTTCCTCTCATTTTCTTGAAAGGGCCAGTTATCCCAGGCTTTGGAAGAAGCAGGAAATCAGAAGAAAAGAGCAGAGATGGTAAGTTTATTTCTTTTTATAATGTTTAATTAAAAAAAAAAAAAACCTTACACATTTAATTACTTGATTTATAGCCCAGTATTATTTTCAAGGTCAAAAGCTGCCTATATAAGGGAAGCCATTAGACGGCGTTTCCCTTCTCAAGCCTTCTCCTCCTGCATTGTACTTCTTGTTCTCTAGTCCTGTGTATCTCAATTGCTCTCCGTGTATCAGTAGCTGCAAAGGTATTTAACCACGCATAAGTTTGTAAATATTTCACTGTAGATAAAACCAGTGGTGAAATCCAATTTTTTTTACTACCAAATCTGTGGGCGGGGCTTGGTGGGGGTGGCAGGGGAAGGATACTGCAAAATCTCCATTCCCACCCCACTCTAGGGCCAACCAGAGGTGGTATTGGCCAGTTACCCGAACTACTCAAAATTTCCGCTACCTGTTCTCCAGAACCTGTCTGAACCTGCTGGATTTCACCCCTGGATAAAACCACTGTTATTTATATAAAAGGCGCTGTGTGCTGTGTTTTGCTCCTGGGTTTATCTCGGAATACTAGTTACGTTGCCTAAAATCTGACCCTTGCACCTAGAACTCACGGCCTCCTTTGTTCGTCACCCAGAATTTTAACCACTAGACCAAACGACTTCTCAATATGGAATACTAATTTATAATTTCCGCATTTACGTGATCACAAGCATTTCACGGCACGTGGTTTCCAACTTTGAGGCTCCGGGATTAAGCCCTGAAGAACCGGGATAAGCAAAAAGCCGTAGACTGAACATATTCCAAAAAATACGCTGGGAATCCCCATTTTCTACGCATGCAAAAAAACAAAAAACAAACCCCACACCTGTATAATCTATTGTTGGCTCTTTTCTGGAGGCAGTTGCTTATTTACCAGCCTGCACCAGGGGCTGTGCGCATGAGAATGCAGAATTTTCAGCAAAAGGAAAATGTTTTAATTGCCTTCCTGTAATTCCCTTCGGTTTGTTTTACACTTTTCAGTGACTCATTTTCCTCTGATCCAGGCTGTGGGCGGCTGGATTTAATAATCAATACAGGATCCTTTTCTTTCTTTCTTTCTTTCTTTCTTTCTTTCTTTCTTTCTTTCTTTTTTCTTTCTTTCTTTCTTTCTTTCATCTTCCTTCCTTCCTTCCTTCCTTCCTTCCTTCCTTCCTTCCTTCCTTCCTTCCTTTCTTTCTTTCTTTCTTTCTTTCTTTCTTTCTTTCTTTCTTTCTTTCTTCCGCAGCTGTCCTTTGCTCATAACTTTTCAGTTCAAGTTTGGGGGAGTCCGGCTGGCTCGCCTCGAGGAACTGATTACAAGCCTGTGCAATCAGAACGGTTTAGCTAAAGCAAAAAACTAAGCGGCCCCGAATAAATAAGGATTAAAAAGTCCCGAGGGAAGCTGAATTTGTATTCACGGCGGCAGGAGGATGAGCAGCACAAGCTGTCCCTCAAAATGTATGCAGCGCTCGGTAGTGAAACACCAACTGATGAAAATGCTATCTGCCATTTGGCCATCTGCTTGGAGTCCTCTTTGTAGGCTTTAAGTCTCGGTAGACGTTCCTCAGCGCGAGAATTAAAATCAGAGGCTAATTAAAGGGGAGACTGTTGTGTTTGAGGACCACGTAATCTGAAAAGACGAGAGCTTACAGGGCATCTGGAGAAGGGCTTCTTAGGTCTATTAGAGGTTATTTCAGAATAGATCTAAGGCAGTTCGCCATCTAAAGTTTACCAGACTGTGAGAGTCCTTGATGGTAAGACATTCAGTCAAGTTTCAACCATTAGCTTGGTTGAAGAAAGTTCTCCTTGCTCTTACATTTCTATTTAGGCAAACTTTGACATTTGCCCGTGATCATTCAGGGGGTCAAAGGGGGTAACAAGCAAGGAATGATGGGTTATCAACAGCCAGTCAAGTTCCACCAGGCCCTGATCATCTGTTCCATCTCTTTGGAGGTCTGTGGAGGTTCTCAGTCATCCAGGTCATGGTTGTCCCAAAGATGCTTTTTCAGGAGGCAACTGGACTTCCTGGTTCTTCTTTGAAGACGTTTCGATTCTTATCCAAGAAGCTTCTTCCAAACATCTTCTTCAAGGTCCATGGAGCTTCCCAATCATCCAGGTCATGGTTGTCCCAAAGATGCTTTTTCAGGAAGCAACTGGACTTCCTGGTTCTTCTTTGAAGACGTTTTGTTTCTCATCCAAAAAAAGTTTCTTCAACTCTCTCCAGCTCTTCTCCAGAACTGAAGAAGCTTCTTGGATGATAACCTTCAAAGAAAAACCAGAAAGTCCAGTTGCCTCTTGACAAAAAGCACCTTTGGGACATCTCTCTGGAGGGGTTCAAGAAAAGATTGGACCACCATTTGTCCTGAATGGAATGACGACACCTGCCTTGGGCAAGAGGTTGGACTAGAAGACCTCCAAGGTCCCTCCCAGCCCTATGATTCTATTTCCTCTCACAGCATTTGATTTTCCAGGATCTCAAAACGGAGGTCTTTTGCGCTAGTGAGTATGACCAGGATTGCATTTGCTAAAGATGTGGATGTCCATTGAGATACGTTGAGCAATACCCACATTTGCAGTGTCGTGAGAGTTACGAAAACGAAATTCACGTTGACCATGTCAACGTTGTCGCCTGGTTGCGCGAAAGACACAACGGTTGCCTTTTGAAACATCATCAGGCAGGTCCTATTTCCACGTAAAACCTCGTCTGCAGGAAAAGCTGCTCGTAAAACATATAATCCGAGAAGCACCTGTCAATTTTGACCCGGGATTTTACTTGAAATTCTGGGCTCATAAGATGGCTGGTTGTCCTATTCTCAGAGCTCCTTGGGCAGCTCGGTTTGAGGTCCTCTTTCTTTTTTTTTCTTTTTTCTTTTTCTGCTCTAACCGTGTAGTACATGATTTCAGGAATAAGCGATCTGCCAGATGGACTCCTCTGGGTTGTAACTATTTCTTCTATTATTGGTCTTTTTTTGCAAAAGGGAACTGCCAACTGTGTCAAGCTGTGCAGAGGGCATCCGCTCTTGAAGCCGGAATGGCTCTCAGGTCTGTTACTGAAATAGACTTCAATTGAAATATGAAGATGGCTGCCATGAGGCCATTTGACAACTCAGGTGGCTGGAAGACTACATTGCCGTCTCTCGGTCTGTCTGTCTGTCCATCTGCCTGCCTACATTCCCATCCACCTACCTACCTACCTACCTAATTAGAATTATTATTATTATAATACATTTCCTTCCTCCCTCCCTCCATCCCTTCTTTCCCCCTTTCCTTCCTTTAGCCCTGCCTCATTTTCTCTTTTCCTTCCTTCCTCCCTTCCTTCCTCCCTTCTTTCCTTCCATTAGCCCTGCCTCATTTTCTCTTCCGTCCATCCTTCCTTCCTTCCTTCCTTCCTCCCTTCTTTCCTTCCTTAGCCCTGCCTCATTTTCTCTTTTCCTTCCTTCCTTCCTTCCTTCCCTCCCTTCTTTCCTTCCATTAGCCCTGCCTCATTTTTCCCTTCCGTCCATCCTTCCTTCCTTCCTTCCTTCCTCCCTTCTTTCCTTCCCCTTAGCCCTGCCTCATTTTCTCTTTTCCTTCCTTCCTTCCTTCCTTCCTTCCTTCCTTCCTTCCTTCCTTCCTTCCTATTGAGCAGTGTCATTGAGAAGGTCATGGGAAATCAGTTGCAGAGGATAGCAGGCAAAGTGGATTAACTAACACACACTCACACACAAACCCGTGTTGCGTCTTGGGACGTGGACCTGAGACCGAGAGGGAATTGCCAGCTCTTGTGGAATCCGAAAACACTTCCAAACCTTCCCCATTACCTCTTCGAAAGCCTCCTCTAGGTCGCGTTAAAAGCAGGCTACATTGCAAATGTTAACATAAACTCCTATTGCCCAATTAATGGGAGTTGACTTATTAATTGCTGTTAAAGGCTACGAGTTGATTGCTCTGATTACAGAAACGCCGTCTCCCTCTTAGAAACACTTAGCAAATGAGCTGGGGGTGCTTCTATTTAAAGCGGAGAGATCTACGGTGGCTCAGGTAGCATCCTTATCCCTACACTCATGTGAAATACTAAGTGGGTGAGTTACCGGTGCCAGGTGAAAAGAGGATTTGGGGGGGGGGAATCCAGGTGGCGTGTTTACCAAATGCCAGGCCACTCGTAGCACCCAAAACCACCGCATCAAAAGATCGACAGACCCACCGAGCTAACCGACTCTTGTCTGTTTCAGTGCACGATTCAATTACTTGTCTGGGAAAGTCAGTTTAACCCTGGAAAGGAAGAGAAGGAATGAAAAGGAGAGGCATTTAAATCACTTCAGCTAATTGCAGTTGACAAGACAAAGGCAGTTTGACTTTCCAGTATTAATTAGCAAACCCGTGCTAATTAGCTTGTATAAGCACAATTTATGCCTCTTTCTCTCAATGAAATTTATTCTGCAACCGGCCCGACAGTCTTCGGGATGTGCCACTCGTGTCATCAACGTACTTCACCCTAATTAAGCATGGGCAACAGCGGCTAGAGAGTTTCTGATTATATCCTTTGATAGTTTGGATCCCGTTGTGAACTTGAGGTGGGGTTTTATTTTCGAGTTGGCGAGAAGTTCACCTCTGTCGGCCTGCCGAATGGAGGTGTGGCAAATCTATTTTCTCTAGAATTGCTCCGGGTTTAAAAATATATATATATATATTTTTTTCCCCTTCCTTTCCTGAATCCCAGAGGAGAGGCATTTCACTTCTTGCAGGGACAATATTCCTGAGAAGTATTACAATATAAAGCAGTTGCCAAAACAAAGCAATAAAAGATTATTAGGGGACTGGAGGCTAAAACATACGAAGAACGGTTGCAGGAATTGGGTGTACGTCCTGCCTTCGGGCGCTTGGAAGAATAGGTTGACCCCTTCCTCTTCTTCGTGGCAGCCCCTCAAATATTGGAAGGCTGCTATCCTGTCACCCCTGGTCCTTCTTTTCATTAAACTAGACGTCTATTTCTTCATATATTTTAGCCTCCAGTTCTCTCACGGTCA